TTTGGTGAAGAATATAAAGGAAAAGAGACGTGACCGATCGCCCAAGCGGCTAACAAGCCGATCAGTGGCGAAGAGGATAAAAGTAAAGTAAAAAAAAGATAATTTTTTTACTTTTATCCTCTTCGCCGCTGATCGGCTCGTTAGCCGTTTGGGTGATCGGTCACGTCTCTGTCACGCACTGTTAGCAAATACTGGGCATGCACCGGCTCCTGAATATATCTGAACCTGCTTCAGTGTTGGTCAAGTCTTGTCTTGAAAGAGCTCACACTCGGTGCCATCACAACACTTTTTTGGCAGATTGTTCCAAGAGTTCACAACTCTCACTCCGAAAAAGTTTGTCATCTAGTACTGATATACTCTGTAAATGCACTGGAAAAAAAAGAGAAAGTCTACCGAGTAAGAATACATGACAGCTGAGCTGGTGTGCACATGGGAGTTTTTTATGTCCAAAAAAACATAAGAATGGAAGAAACTGCAGTGGACTGTTGGCCCATACTGTGCAGTCCCATTTACACCCAGCCCCCATCGCTCATACATCCATCCAACCCATGTTTGAAGCAGCTCTTCACGGCACATTTCTTCACTTACAAAATGTCCATGACTTAGACCATAAAAAACACCCTTAAAACTTACCTGAACGTGGCATTTGGGGTCTGAAGAGGCCATCCTTTCTACTACATCCGACTGCAGCGATGAGTTTGAAACTAGTGACGTCATTGCAAAAATAGTAGAGAAAGTTAAGGTAATTATATAGGACTAACCCGCGAGCGAAATTGATTTAAAACAATTATAAAAACGCCGAATTTTTATTGTTATATTATAGTGGACACTGTTGTAGTTTGTGGAAATATGTTAAAAATTTGATATTTTTAAAATAAACGCGACTTAACATTTGTGGGTATGAAGAACAGACCTTACCAAACCTACCTACCTAACCTTACCTAACTTCCCCGGTATCTTAAACAGAAAGAACTTACTATGATATGGTGAAATTTGAGGCATTTCTGGCGTGAGATGATACGGCCACACAGGCGCTATGCAGCCCTGGCGGGTTAGTCCTATATATTAACCAAAGCTAATTGGCAAAGTTGAGGGAACAATTACACAACAAGAGGCAAGACTTGTCATCAACCAGGCTGCTCCATTTCTCGACCAAAAAACTAAATTCGTTAAAAAATTTCTCTCACGCAAATATTAAGTCAACTTTACATAACAACATCATCAGTGATATATAAATGATCCTATAACACTACCAGAGAAGGTATATCTTACCTTAATAAGTGATATATTTGCCCTGATGTTATCGTCAATCCTCTGTAGTGAAGCTGTAATGGCGGCTGTCGCTGTTGGAGTCTGGCCCGACACTTTTCTGAACAAAATACTATATCTTACAACAAAATCACACAATAGTGGAATAATAATTAAAATAAGTGTAATAAATTGTAATAAAATTTGAATAAATAAATATTAAAAAATCGTAGTAATAATTTCAAAGAAATAACAGGTAGAGCTTCTGTGTAATTTTGTATAATATTATCACGCAAACAGAAGCTGATGATCCAGGTCATTGAAAATGCGTCAATTTTAATATATATTGTATTCAACTATCAGGTAGAAGACAGCAGTAGTGAAATACTGTGATCAGTGACAAGACCTTCCAACATGAGCATGCGTCCCTGAATTACGCGCAAACAATCTTGAAGCCTCGCAACTGTGATCTACATTCCGATGGCGGATAAAGCTTGGATTCCATTACGCGTTTGCAGTGCGTTTGCGTTTTCAATCGTTACAGGGAGCGATTGGCATGTACTACAAACGCATAACATTAACGCAACCATGCCAGTGGAAACAACCATGTACATTCCAATGTGATCTAGGATTTGCTTTTTGTTTTTGTTTTTAAGGGGAATAGCTCACCCGGACACAGGTCATCGACCCACAACGGGGCCTAGGAGCGAAAAAAAAGACTCTCTACATGACCGCAAGCAATGTGTGGTGATTAATGGCACGAAATCATAATCTGTACCTGTCACAAGCGGGGTACCACCGGGCAGTGTATTGCTTTTATCCTCTTCACCACTGATCGGCTCGTTAGCCGCTTGGGCGATCGGTCACGTCTCTGTTATTCACTGGTGGCAAGTACTGGGCATGCACCGGCTCTTGAATGCACCTGAACCTGCTCCAGTGTTGATCGAATCTGGTCTTGAAATAGCTCACACTCGGTGCCGTCACAACACTTTCTGGCAGATTGTTCCAAGAGTTCACAACTCTCACTCCGAAAAAGTTTGCCCTCACAGTTTTCTGGACTTGCGGCTTCTTCAATCTTGAGCTGTGACCCCTTGTGGGGCGAGTGTCCGCCAGCTCCAAGTAGGGACACTCGACTGAGTAGTGCTCCCTGAGATGCTTATACACCTCAATTAGATCACCCCTTGCCCGTCTGTTGTATAAGCTAGGCAAGTTCAGGCGCTCCAATCTCTCAGGGTAGCTGAGGTGCCGAAGTGCAGGCCCAGTCTGGTGGCCTTCCTTTGAACATTTTCAACCAACTGACAATTGTAATTTCCCTTGTAATATTTGCACCTTGGCCTGGCCTTATCTTGAACTAGGTAACAGTTAAGTCTGAATGACAACACTATATGGTGACTGGTGCCAACTGGGGCAAGGTGTTCCAGTTTGGCCACCATACCCTCCTCGTTAGTGGCTTGGGTGTTTGCTCCCCTCTGTAATGTGTCGGGTCTCTTACATGTTGGAACTGAAAATTATCTCTCAGAGTTTCTACAAAAAGAGTAGCAGAGTTATTCAAGTCATTTGGGGTGAACTCGTTTCCCCAGTCGATGTCGCCATAGCTAAAGTCCCCCATGATAAGGAGGTGGCTAGGGTTGAGCATCGCCGCGTTGTCTATTAAGGCTCTTAAGTTCCTTTGATTTAGTGGGCCACAGTTTGGGGATCTGTAGATACACCAGACAATAAGTAAGTCCCCTCCCTTTAATTTAATTTTACACCACTTAAACTCTTCAAAAACATCGTCACCCTGTACCCTCGCCTGGCTGGCTCTAAGGTCTTACCTAGCATAGATAACCACATCCCTCTTGCAAGTTTCTTGAGAAAGGTTCGTAAATGAGTCATATCCAACAATACTGAACTTACATTCCTCTGGGTCGATTCTCCTGTTCTTGTACAACAGTTCTACACTGTCGAAAGCCTTGGCAAAATTTAGGTATATATTGTCGATATTACCACCCAGTTCCAGAATATGGGTCCAAATATCCAATACCTTGAGCAATTGTGTTAAGCAGGAGCGCCCCGGCATAAAACCGTGTTGGCAATCCTTTACAAGTTTGTTTCGTAGTCGTGTTCCATCGCGGCAACTCTGATAATACTCTCAAGTACTTTGCATATTATGCTGGTCAGGCTCACCGGTCTATAGTTGTTCGTGCAGTGACGATCGCCCTTCTTGAAGATAAAACTCACATTAGCCACTTTCCAATCACTGGGGACCTTTTGTTCATCCAGGCATTTACAAAACAGGATCTTGAGGGGCTTGGCAAGCTCGTTGCACAACTCTCAGCACTCTGGGATGCACCATGTCAGGGCCGGGACTCTTATAGACCTTTAGCTTTGACAGTTTATTTCTAATACCCTCTTCTGTGAACATAATGTGGGTCACTGCTGTGCCGAACCGTCTTTACTCAAAAGCAGGAAGGTTAATTGCATCCTCTTGTGAACGTCGAGGAAAAGAAGCTGTTCAATGCCTCAGCCTTATCCTGGTCAGAATCTGCGTAATTACCAACTTCAACCCTCAGGTCTGATACTCCAACTCGCGTTTTTAATTTCGACTCTGCATAGCGGTAAAACGCCTTTTGGGTTTGACTTGACCTCGCTTTCAACCAGCCTCTGGAACTCCTTTTCAGCCCTTCTACACTCTGCCTTTGCTTGGTTTCTGGCTCTTGCATACATCCTCGATTCCAAGTGAGAGCAAAGTACTGTAGTACAAGTAGTGGTAGTAGTAGTGTGTGTGTGTGTATGTGTGTCTGTGTGTGTGTCTTCTTGTTTTTCTTCTTGTTAATACTAAAAAATATCAATAAAAAGTCCTAAAATTTAAAATTTCGTGTGTTAATTCCGCTTCTAGAAGACCCAGCTAATTATCCGTTTAATACAAACGAGGCTAAGTATATTACATTTTCTTTTATCGGCTCTGTTGACGCGCATTGGGTATTATGCGTATTGAAAGCGATAAGCTTAGCAGTTTATCATTTGACGACATCTTAAATATTTTTGCTGTCCAAACATCACGAAAGGAAAAGTATTGAGACGTGACCGTTCGCCCAAGCGGCTAACGAGCCAAATGCTGTTACATGTATCGTTAATAAAATTTATATTGCATTTTTTACATAAACTCTTATATATCCATTTCCTGCTGTATTCATTAACACTTCCTTACAGCGCGTATAATTTAGTTACTGTGTGTATCGCCAGATAGTATAACGTCTCATCCACTTTATCTTTGTAAAAAAAATATTTGAAGTGGTAGTAGCCTGGTGGGCCTGGGGGCCTCTGAGGTTGACATATTGTAGCTTAGGGCCTCAACATAGCTTTATCCAGCCCTGCTTGCCAGCAGTGCATGTGACCGACCGCCCAGGCGGCTAAGGAACCGATCAGTGGCGAAGAGGATAAAAGTAAAACGGTAAAAGAAACTCATGTTTATTATTGTAGAAAAATGTATGGCTCCTAAAATAATAAAAGCCTTCACTAAAACTATCTTAGTACTGGAAGATCAAAGAAGGTTATATTGATCATATTCCTAAAAAAAATATATAATTTTTTTTAGCGATGTTATTTAACATATTTGTGGTACAATGTGTCCTAAGGTAATGAAGCATTGAGTGAAGCAGTGTAGATGGAAAAGGTGAGATAATGAAACAGTGAAGCAGGAGCGTGAAGCAGTGAAGCAGGAGCGTGAACCAGTGAAGCGGGAGCGTGAAGCAGTGAAGCAGTAGCCTGGAGCCCAGCAGCAGGAGTCGGAGAGGCTGGCTGGCGGTATTGTAAACAACGACTCTTGCTGAATCGTCTTCAACAAATTTTCGTCATTTTTCACCACTGAACCTTCAACATTTACTAAACCTACACTCTAAAACTACCATGACATTTATCAGTGTCAGTTAGTTGAATAACAAGGCCGAATGAAAAGCGAGTGGCGGGAAAAGTGTGATAAACGTCTTGGTTAAGGTACGGCAGCCATGTTAGACGGTAAATTAGAGCTTAACTATCACATATCTCCAATATGTCTTATATCTCAATGTTTAATTTTTATAGTATGAATGAGTATTAAACAAGGCTTCGGGTTGAAGGGGTATCAATCTCACTTAATATGTATATGTCATGCATCAATTTGATTCAAGTAATTTGAGATCTTGAGCCTTACTGTAATAGGCCTACTGTATTGGCTGCCGGAGTAGCCCAGCACACGCGCTATGAGTACGATTGTATTCATAATTTGATGGATCTTTGTATTTGTTATAGATATGTAGCTTATTTAATTTAAAGCTACCCCGGTAATTAGTAATGGTCTAATGTGACTGTGGACTTAAAAGATATCAAGTAAAGATGTCATATAACTTCACATTTGCTTAACCCTCTTCAACCCTGGTCAGCTCACTAAACAGACATAAGTTTAGCAGCAGTTTTGGACTCTACGTCCAATCAGAGTGACACCCTGTACAGTAGTTTGTTTGAATAACTAGAGGGTACAGGAGACTTTTAGAGGTCATTGATTTTGAAACTTTATTTAGCCAGAAATATGTAGTGTAATTATTGATGATTGACCTGCCGCTGAATTTTCATTGAAAACAATTTTAAAGAATGCCGCAATTTGACTGTTTTATAGTGGAAACTCGTACTTTTGGCAAATGTGTTAAAAAGTGGTTATTTCTAAATTAAACTTAACCTAACCTTGGTGAAGTTTCAGTCATGCACCGGTCTTTCTCTCGCTGCTGTTATTATGTTTTTCGCAATGTTTAGACAATTCTAAGACCCCTTTCTTCTATGATATTTCCGCCGGAAATTAAGGATAACCGAGGTATTATTTTTCAATATTATTAGATTTGGTCAGTCACAAGTGTCGCCATTTATTGTTTACATCTCACAGAGAAGGTCTGACCACCCATCACGCAGTGATCCTTACCTTCGTGTTGGCTTCTTAAGCGTCTACAGGGGTGGTGTGGGATTTCTTATTGGCTATAGTGATAGGAGACATAATTGGGCAAGATTTTTTTGTCTTAGCCAATGAACAATGCGTGGGTGCGTCGGGAGCGGCGATTTGATTTTTCAGTCCCAGAATAACCAGATACTGCTGAACAGGTGGAAAGAGCTGTGCCTACATTGTCATAGAGATTATTTTACGTCAATTGCAGAGTTTCATTAGAAAAATAGTATTAGGTCAGGTTAGGTTTGGTTTGGTTTTGTTGGCTGGTTGGTATTTTATTTATGTAATTTACTCGGAAAAAAACACACATTTTCGTTAAGATTGATGGGGGGGGGGGGTTATCTCAAAAACTATTGATTTCTGGCTGAAATGAATATAAAATTCAATCAAAACCAATCAAATGAAATCGGAAAAACATTTTTAATATATGAACAAAGACCGGTGCATTAGGGAAAATTGACCCTAACCTTAGTTGATAAGAAACACAAGCAGCCAAAGCATTGTTAGAAGGTCTCACCAATCTAACCAGAGCAACCTACCTAACTTCCTAGCCGTGGGGGTCTGCCCTCTGAAACCCCTGGCATATCAAACAGAAAGAACTTACAATGGTATGGTGTAATTTTAAGTTTTTTGTGGACACGAGAGAAGCTGCCCAGACCGAGTGGTTCGTAAACATACACGAGTGGAGGACAAAATCGAGCGTTGACCGGGCCGCCTTACCGATTTATCACCGTGCAAGACGAAGTAGTACCTCTAATGCAAACCTAGGAGCCTAAATATCCACCCAATGAAGTATGTCCTAACTCAGCAGTGAAAATATAATAACAAGAGGTCCATCAAAACAAATGTAGTGACGCGTCCTCCTAATATTACGTATTTAAGTAATTATTAGATGTTTTAGTTGCCTGTATGTTGGCCTGGCGAGTTAATGCTGGGCATTAACATAGCAAGGTATAAAGTTAGACGTCGCATTCTGGACTACAGTACCTGTAAATCACAAAAACTGGGTTTTGTTTTTGTTTTTCTTGTTTCTCTGCCATTTAGATAAATATCCTTGTGAGAATCTCACAAACTCAAACCATTATTGAGTCTGTTGAGTCCGTTTAGAGATTTACCAAATTTATACAGTAATTTATTAGGTTATGTTAAATTACTAGTCACGGCAAAATAACCTGAGCTATTTTTGCCGATCCTTTGTTGATGTAATAGAAGTAATGGTACAGGTACGTACAGTCATCCCTCGGTTAACGAGCACAATCCGTTCCAGCAGGTTGCTTGTTAACCGAAAAACTCGTTAACCGAAACCATTGTTTCAATGGGTTTTTGGGTAATTGGTTCCAGCTCACCGAAAATTGCCTAAATTCAACAAAAAAGGTAGAAAATTACACTTACTTTGAGGTGTGTATGTAGATGGCTCCTGGATGATGATGATGATGGGAATTAGAATGGGGGTGGAGGAGAAGGAAGAAGAGAAGGCATTGGGGTGGAAGAGAAGTCACCCCATGGCACCATTTCACCCATAAAATTTAGTTCTCTTGGTGTAATTCAAGATTATTTTCTTTAAATCAACACTGCACTGCATTATATATTGTCAATATGTAAAATAAATTTCAAAATGACCAATAATTTGCTTGGAAACAGAAAAAAAGCATTTAGTTGAAGAGAGTCTCAAGCAAGATGTTACCTCCACTGAAAACAGAGAGAGACTAACGCCTGTCTGGTGTGTTGAGAGGTTGGATGGCACGCCAGAAACTAGTTTCTTTACCTTCAATTGAGGTTCAATAATTGTTAAAATGACTAAAAAAGTTAATATTACACTTTTAAAATTATTGAATAGTATAAACTTCTTGATATTTACTAAAATAGTAAGGAATTTAAGCCCTAAAACCGATTACTGTATTGGCGGACTAATACTACAGCTGGTGGACCGTCAAATGCAAGCGAAAACATGTTGAGGTCGGCTTGTAAAAAACTCGTTAATCGAGGGATTGCTCGTTAACCGAAGTTAAGAATCTTATGGATGGTAAATCGTTAACCGAGGGATCACTGTATTACTGAAAATAGTACATTTGAAAATTCTTAACATAATACATATTAAGTGGTGTAAGGTAATGTAAGATTTTTTCATGCTTAGTAGAGTATCAGTATTGATGTCTTTATATGTGGATGCTTGACTACCAGTCAGAAGTCATATCTAGAGTGAAGTCAAGTGTTAACTTAAGGTTGTGGTGGAACACCTAGGCTATGTCTATGAGGTAAAGAATAAAGTATTATTGTATGTAGAGTACAGTATGCTGTGCTTTGTTAATCTTCTACAACTCAAGTTACTGAAGATAAATGAATGTTGTTGTTTTATTCCACAGCGGCAGGTGTGGTTCATGGATCAAGATGGCGGAGGGAATGTTATCCCTGTCTTGGAACAACCACAGTGTCACCTTCTGTCACAGTCTGATATCACTCAGAGCTAAGGTAACAGCTGGCCTTTTTTCTTCAAATATACAGTGTACTGTATACAGTATTTCTCTAGTTTAATTTTTTAAGAACATTATTAAAACATACCATATACTGTACTGTATATAGCTTATGATGAATTAAAGGTACCATATAGTATCTATACATGCAGTACTTTTTCATACAATAATGTTTTAATTGTACTACTAATACTGTACAGTACTATACAGTCTTACCAAGAAGATTTTGTTTTAACTACTATACAGTGAACCCTCGCTTTACGCGGTTTCACTTTACGCGTTTCTACATTTACGCGGTACCCTGCCAGAACCGGAATTCCCACTTTACGCGGTGCATCTACTCATATACGCGGTGAAGTATAATTTTGTTATTTTGCTCATGAAATTCATACAAATTATCCGGCCAGAATATAATTTACATAGCTGGAATTCTTACAATTTGATGATCATTTTGAATATAAGCATCATAGATTTTGCATTAGACATACAAATTTTAGATCTACTGCAAGTATTTTGTTTACTCAGAGCAAATATGTTATCTTTTGTGCAAAACATATGAAGTGAATATTCAAAATATTCCTGGTCTTGCAAGGAATCCAGTAATGTCAATTATATTATCCTAACTTTAGTCTGAGGTATTATTTATTACTAAAAAGGTAAATATTCTGGTTTCTCCCACACATTTCTCTGGTAGGGAGGGACCGACCGACCATCTGGCGGGGTTGGAAGGGGAGGCAAGGTGGGGTACTTTGACAGATAGTGTGTGAAGAATATATATTTTTTTTTATTAACTGAAGATATTTGTTTTAGCTCATAAAATTCATACAAATTACTGGGCCAGAATATAATTTACATTACTGGAATTCTTACAATTTGATGATCATTTTGAATATAAACATCATAGATTTTGCATTAGACATACAAATTTTAGATCTACTCTAAGTATTTTGTTTACTCTGAGTAAATATGTTATCTTTTGTGCAAAATATATGACATTTATATTAAAAATATTCCTGGTCTTACAAGGAATCCAGCAATGTCAATTATATTATCCTAACTTTAGTTTGAGGTATTATTTATTACTATACAGTACCTAAAAATCTAGTGGTTTTTCCCCCAAACATTTCTCAGAGAGGGAAGAGCCAGGAGTGTGAGAAGAGGGAGAGGGAGTTGAGTCCATTATTTGAATGGACATTAACTTGGCGACTGTATTTCTCTATTTCTCTTAAATATTAATTGTGTGCATGTACCATCATAAAATTAAGATGTTATTTTTACTAGAACATAGGTATTGTGTCGGAAAAAGTGGAGTTTGGGGGTCAGCCGGTCACTATTTCATTTAATCCCATATGTTATGTTGTTCACTTTACGCGGGCCTCCGTGAGTTCAATTGACCGCGTAAAGTGAGAAACGCGTAAAGTGAACAACATAACATATGGGATTAATTGAAATAGAGACTGGGCCGACCCCCAAACTCCACTTTTTCCGACACAATACCTATGTTCAAGTAAAAATAACATCTTAATTTTATGATGGTACACACACACAATTAATATTTAAGAGAAATAGAGAAATACAGTCGCCAAGTTAATGTCCATTCAAATAATGGACTCAACTCCCTCCCACTCTTCTCACACTCCTGGCTCTTCCCTCTCTGAGAAATGATTGGGGGAAAACACTAGATTTTAAGGTATAGTAATAAATAATACCTCAAACTAAAGTTAGGATAATATAATTGACATTGCTGGATTCCTTGTAAGACCAGGAATATTTTGAATATAAATGTCATATATTTTTCGCAAAAGGTAACATATTTACTCAGAGTAAACATTACATCTAAAATTTGTATGTCTAATGCAAAATCTATGATGTTTATATTCAAAATGATCATCAAATTGTAAGAATTCCAGCAATGTAAATTATATTCTGGCCGGGTAATTTGTATGAATTTTATGAGTTAAAACAAATATCTTCAGTTAATAAAAAAAAAATATTCTTCAGACACTATCTGTCAATCAAAGTACCCCACCTTGCCTTCCCCCCTCTTCCAACAGAGCCAGATGGTCAGTCCGTCCCAACCCTCCCCCCCCACCTCCCACCAACCCTCCCTTCAAGAGAAAGGGTGGGTGAAAAAACTAGATTTTAACATTTAGTATTAAATATTACCTCAGATTAAAGTTAGGATAATATAATTGACATTGCTGGATTCGCCAGCAAGACCAGGAATATTTTTGAATAAATGTCTTTTCTTTTCAAAAGACGTATATTTACTCAGGTAAACATTATATCTAAAATTTGTATGTCTAATGCAAAATCCGCAGTGTTTATATTCAAAATGATCACCAAATTATAAGAATTCCAGCAATGTAAATTATATTCTGGCCTGGATTCGTTGTACGTTTGACTGTCAAAGTACTGCCATATAGGAGTACACACACATGGAAAGGCGGTATTCAGTTTGGCGTAGCGTGGAAACGCGTAAAGTGGGACCGCGTTAAGCGAGGGTTGACTGTATATACTATGTATATATATCTATATATATATATGAGAATTATGTTAAATAATTATTTTTAATTTTTCTTTTTCTCAGGAGAGGTACACCGATGTGACACTGACATGCGAAGGCAGGTTTTACTCGGTCCATAAACTAGTGTTATCAACATGCAGTGATTATTTTGAAAACATATTTGAACACACGCCGTGCAAACATCCTGTCATTGTATTGAGGGATGTCAAGTGTGATGAGCTAGAGGCACTATTAAGCTACATGTATGCTGGTGTTGTAAGTGTTGCACAGACTGACTTGCCTCGACTCATAAAAGTGGCTGAGCTGTTTCAAATTAAAGGTCTTGCTGTCCCTGATGAACCACCCAAGAGTAGTGGTGTATCACCAAGTGTACAGAAAAGTAGCAGTGATAGGAACAGTCCTTATGCTGCAAGAAGACACTCTCAGGGTTCCACTAATGTAAGAAACAGTCCAAATCCTAGAAGTAAATCCGCCCATAGTCATAGTGATGGAGTTAGTCCACAGCCAAAACGGATGCGAAGTGAAGGTGATAACACAATGTTGCAAGACAGACTCATCGCTCCCTCTGTGAGTCCAGCCCAGGGGAAAGACAGCTCACACAGCCCAGTGGTTGAGTGGTCATCAGAACCCGGTAGAAGCTTGACAGGAGAGCAAGAATTAGAAAATACTGAAGACATAGATAGTAAAGCAGAGTCCAGTTCACAGGTGTGTAACATTATACTGAATATTTTAGGATTTCTTCTATGAAGTGTCAAGAAATAAAAACAATATTAAGATGGCAAAGGAAAAAGAGAATTATTTATGTAGTTTGATGGAGTAAGAGGAAATAATTATAATGTGTTGATGATAGTAGGTTTAAACTTTGTATGAAGGTTTCATTAATTTTGTGTTAATATAATGTTTTTGTAAATTTGCAGGATGCAGGATGTGAGATACAAATTAAAGAGGAAGTGATGGATGACATGAGGGGTGGTGATGCCAGCATAAGTGACTCTGGACTAGACTATACTTCCATGTCAAGTGATGTAGTGTTGTCTAGAGGTGACCAGGGGTTATCTTCAGGACATAGAAGTGACCACATAGATGCATCTAGTTTAATGATGATGAAACTTGAACATTCTAACACAAGCCAACAACCTGGAATTCGGTCACTCATTAGAGCAGAAGCCTATGCTGAAGGGATGAATACCACTATGCCAGGACCTTCAGAACTTCAAGGAGTAAGTACTCCATTTTATCCATCCAGTGATTATATATATATATATATATATATATATATATATATATATATATATATATATATATATATATATATATATATATATATATATATATATATATATATATATATATATATATATACATATATATATATATATATATATATATATATATATATATATATATATATATATATATATATATATATATATATATATATATATATATATATATATATATATATACAGTGGGGTATGCTATAACGAACGGATACTACTACGAATATTCCTATAACGAACGGTTTTACCTATAAAATTGAGAATGCTATAACGAACGAAACTCCTACAACGAACATTATTTATTTATTTATTTATTTTATTTATTTTTTTTTTTTTACTAATTTATTTTTTTTTTATTACAAGTATTAATGATACTCATTATTTCAGGGGTTTAGATGCATATTTATGCATTTTTACAATTTTTACAATTTTATATTATATTTTTCAGTGTTAAGTGGTTGTATTTGGGGGCCTGGAACGGATTAATCCTATAACGAAAGAAGAAAACACGAAGTTCCCAAGCGCTTTCGTGTAATTCACATCTTCAGGGGTGAGTACAGACTAAAGAGGAGTACAAAACAAGGTGTATTCAGGGTGAGACCAGCTGGTCGTTTGGTAATATACTAATCTTTAAATAACGCGACAGTGTAGTCAGGTCAGAGGGTAGGTGACACCTTCTCACCTGGTTACAAATCTTCTTAATTACAAAATTGTCAGTTTGTACATGCATTAAATTCATGTTGAATGCTTCGGTATGTTTAATGAGACTAGATTCTATGATGTTCCTTCTATCAATTGAATTACAAGGTAATATTGAGGAGGCATTATCCCAGTCAATGCAATGCTTATTATCCCTCAAATGAACAAACAGAGCATTGGATTCCTGGCCTGCCCTAACACTATATTTATGTTGTTTAAGTCTTGTAATTCAATTGATAGTAGGAACATCATAGAATCTAGTCTCATTAAACTGGCGAAATTTTGAATTTGAGATAACGGGCATTGCAAACTGGACAATTTAATTACGAAGATGTATTACCGGTGAGAAGTTGGCAAACACCTGCGACCGTGCTGGCCAATTAGTGGTACTAATACTGACATTGTGGATATACACTTGTTTGCTCCTCTTTATCTGTACTCACCCTGAAGATTGAATTACGCGCAGCGCTTGTGGGTCTTCTTTTTCCTTTTTTGGTTATCAGCATATACCTAGATCACGTGCATACAGTGATTTACTTGTATTATATATATATATATATATATATATATATATATATATATATATATATATATATATATATATATATATATATATACAGCCACTCCTCAACTTACGACGGGGTTAGAGACTCAAATCCAGGTCGTAAGTCGAAAATGCGAAGATAATACATAGAAAATCTAAAATGGGTGTCTCTTTTTCTTCTCAGCACCACAAAACTCTCACTTTTAAGCTTGCCTGCCCTTTTAAAGTGAATTACAAACGAAAATTTTGTCAGTACACCGAGTGATCACTAACTTGAGCCCTTGCTTGATGCAGTCATTTCACCAGTAAAATTTTAAGTTCACTAGCTGTAATTCAAGATTATTTTATTTAAATCAACACTGCACTGTGCTATATATTATCAATATGTTAACTAAATTTCAGAATGACCTATAATTTCAATGTAAAAATGCAAAAATATTCAAGACACCAACAAAATAGATGTTTCACCCCACTGTCAACAAAGCCACACTGATGCCTGGTGGCTGAGTCAAGCGGCTGATGAGCGCTCAAAAAACTACTAGTTCCCTGTACTGCATATATTATCATTGTGTTTACTAAATTTTAAAATGGCTGATAATTTTAATATAAAAAAATGCAAAAATATTAAAGAGCACAACTTTCTTGATATTTACTCCACTGGAAACGAATGTAAACATAGAACAGATTACTGAATTGGTAGATTAGCCCATCAGCTGATGCTCACATAAAAAACTGTTGTTCGTAAGGATTTCGTTAATCGAAGTTTTGTTCGTTAACCGAATTGAAGATCCTTATGGGAGGTAATTCGTTAACCGAAATTTCATTAATCGAACCGTTCGTTAACCGAGGGACCATTGTATACCTATACTACATGAAATGTAGGTTTTTATTGTCCCAGAGATTTCCACCTACCCAGAAATATTTTACAATGACCTGCTTTTCATAGTTCAATATGTTGTCATTTTCTAAGTAGTACAGTACTGTATAGGGCTGCAAAAATTAAAATATTAGTTTAATTTGTTGGGCTATTTTTCTTTCAAGGTGAATATTTAAGGTGGTGGGTCATCTGCATATTTCAAACAATACTCCACTTCTTTTGTAGAGTTAGTATAAACAGCAATTGAGGAGGCACCATTAAGGGGTCGTTTCAGGGGTTTAAAGTTGGTGCTGTATGGTACTGTTTTTTGAACCTGAGTGTATATGTGTGTGGGTGTGTGTAAAGAAGGTGTTTACAGTATTTCTGTTGGCCTAAAGATTCAATATTTTTCTAACGTTGAGCCCCAGAACTTAGACATATTGTATACAAAGATTCAGGTATGCGTGCATGCATGCTAATGGGTTTAGATTTAAATGACATGCCCTTTGACAAGTGGCTGTCATAATTGTATAAGGCAACATAGAAGGGATTCTTGAGCCAATAGACCCCTCACCCACCACTGTCATCAAGGTTGATCTCTTAATTGGAAACTAACTTATCCCATCAGTCACCCTGCATAGCCAGTCTTAATTGAGGGGCATATGTAGTGGTTTCCCCACCCTGGGAAAGAAGTGGGAGGGGGGGGGGAGTATTGATGATGACTGGTGAGAGTTGGTGGTGATGGTCCTTGGTGAGTGATGATGGTAAAAGGTCAGACATTATAGGGATAGTGACAGTTAAGAGATGATAGTGATGATCCTTGGTGAGAGAAGATGGTGAATGTGGTCTGACATAATTAGGATGGTCACTAACACTCCAGACACAGTCAACACTATGCTATTAAAGGAGAGGAGAAAATACATGGGCTTCTATACTAGATATTAGGAAATAATTGTAGAGAAAGTTTTAAATGTTCTATATTATTGTTAATGTTCACACCTTAAATTTTTCAGTGGTTCGGTGGTGAAGCCATGACTGGCTTATCCATGGTTAAAGGGAATATGGGTGATGACGGTCAGCTGTACTCTCAGGACATTTCACAGCAACACCGCGAGCGGGTGAGTGTTACCTTCCAGTATTGTCAGAGGATGAAAAGTCAGTACCCTGGAGGTTGAACACACATTCATTATATTACATTCAGTATTCAAATATTGAAGATGCTTTAAATTACTTAATTTATGACCTAATGACAGGAACATATGACTCGTGTAATACTTCAACAAGTCTTTGGGGTTATTGCCTAGGAATGCCTCTAGTCGGTCCCGGTTGTTACTAATTCATTGGTTATTAATACTTGCTGTTGCTACCATATCCTTGAAAAAAGGATATTTGGAGGCAAAAGATACCATTGAAGGTTGGAGGGTTATGTATCAAGGTGTTACACTGCTTGAAAGATAATGTAGATCCAATATCTCTGATGAGAGTTTAGATCCATTATTTGTGGTAATTCATATTATTTCAGAGGAGTTACAGGAATAACCACAATATGGGTCAGGTTTATTGGCTTGGAAATACACATCCTCACTTGATATTCTGATTGAAGTGTTTTGACCTAGAGAGATACAATGGGGCAATGGTGTTTGGGGATCCTAATGACAATATTTGACTACAGTATTTACACACATCACACAATATTAAAGACCTGTAATCACACAATATTATAGACCTGTAATGAACATACAGAAGACATAGATGAAAAATATAATGATTCAGTATTTACTTTATATTTTATCAATCCACAACTTCTATACTGTATAAAGTACAGTAACACATGGGATTTTTAAAGCATTTCTATACAACATATTTGTTATTTGTTTATTTATTCTTTCACATTGGGTAGTCTTAAAAAGATAATCAGCAAAGCCCCCCAACCCCACACGTCTTCCTCCGATGTCAAAATCGTGGTGAAGCCATGTCCTCTGTGAACCTGCTATGGTACCTATTGTGTTGAGACTGTCTGGAGTTAGGGGTGTTTGTAAGGTGGTGTGTATTTGTTATACAGTACTGCTATGTGTAGGGTGACAATTAATTCATGGACACATTTGTTTTGTTGAATAATTGTTTTATTTGGATAGTATAACTTCAGGATACCAAATATTTAGAATAACACAGTATGGAAATACAAGCTGTATTGGTGAAATTCACATTTCTTCATTTCTTGAAACTGACTGATGTCAGGTAACTTAGGTTAGAATGTATGCATTCACGGTAGCGGAAGAAGAAGCTATCCATAACTTGCTGAAGTGTTTCAGAAGACATCTAACTTATTTCTCTTCTGATGGTCTTTCAGTTTTAGTAATGTTTGTGGTCTATTTACATAGCCCCATAAAAATAATCTGGAGATGTAAGGTCAGGGGATGTCTCCAAATCTTGAAATAATGTGATTTAGAAAGTCTCTTGCAACATTTGCCCTGTTGCATTGTTTGTGTGGCAACAAATGAAGAAGTGTGAATTTCACCAATATTTCCATACTCCTGTTGTTCTAAATATTTGGTATACCATCCATATGAAACAAATGTTTCTATGAATTAATTGTCACCCTGTACAGCATAAACATTTTGGATCACATTTCTGCCTCTTCTCCATCTCTCTTGGGGGCTTCAGTTATGTGAGTCATCTGTTCCAAGCATTGGATCACAAATGGAAGATTGACCTTGAAATACCATTTTATGATCAAACTCTCCATCTCTGGGGTCCCTGTGGGGTTGGCTGGTAGTGAGTGGATAAGGTCATCTCAGTTTAAGGGTGAGTCAGAAAGGTAGACATATTGTACCCCTAACAGTGTGGTGCCCCAAGTTACTTTCTGGCCTTTGCTGGTAACTTTTGTTTCTGAATCTCTCTTTTTGAAGGATATAGTAGCAACCAGAGGTATTCCTAATTTTTGGATTATTACTGTTGTCATTTTCTAGGGATCTCCTGATTATTGATCATATAGGCTTGTCTGGATATTATACAAGTCATATGCTCAAGGCTCTCATAAAATAATACTGTATATCAGGATCAACCCTTTAAATTTGCCTCATCATTGAATAATGAAACAGTTTGAGAAGAATACACGAGGCATTATTCTGTGGTGAGTGGGTGTCTCTTGTAGGCATAATAAATCCTCAGTTTTGAATTCAAGGTTTTGAATATGGCAAACTTAGTTTTCTAGTTAAGATTTCAGCCCATTAGTAACTTGTATAGTAAATGTTCTAGAATGATGGAACCATTAAATTGTTGCATCTTAAATTATAAATTGTTAGCCAATTTGAAAAACAAATACTGAATATTAAAAAGAATTCTCATACAAATATATCAGTACAGTAGTTCCAACCTCCAGGGTGACTTTTTGTGCTGAAAATATAAATATTAGGTATGGAAAGAGGCATTACACAATACTTCTTTCATGTAGTAGACTTTATGGTTATGTTTATATTTTTTATACTGTATGTTGGTCCATAGCACTGAAGTATGTGGTGGCCAGAGTTGGGTCGGTTATCAAAAATTACTACCAGATATCCATACATACTGTACTATCCTGCCAGTTATCCAATTTCCTACTGTATAAGAATTACAAAGTTCCCTGACAACTGAAAGCTTCAAATCCTTGTAGACTACTGTATTTATGAATACATTTTTGACATATTCTCCACATTAATGAAACATACATGTTTGATATTTTAAAATAAAGAAGAATTGGTCTTCAGTTGCATAAAGTGCAGGGGTGGATGAGAATGAATGTTTGAGGTATGTCAGCCAGGCAGGAGCCCCTGGAATGAGCACACCAGGGACATGAGAGAACATCTCAGTCAAGCAGTAAAAGGGCAAAAAAGCACAAGTATTGTACAGCTAAAAATAAACTAGTCATTCTAAGATTTCAGATCCAATAGAAACATTTTAGTGTTATGTAAGGATTCTACAATTACAACCCAATGTGCTGCAGTTGTGTTAAAGAAAATTGCTTGGGAGTTGCTGTTTGGTGGTTATGTTTGTAACCAATAAAGTGACATTGTTTTTTGAATCCATGAACAAGAGATTGATCAGTTCATTAAATAGAACCTTATCAAAACATATGATTCCATTTTATGATTAGCAATTTTTTGTGAAATTCCAGCAGACTCAGTTGGAAGTGGTGAAGAACAATTTGGGAAAAAGAAAACAAATTAATGCCTTTGCTCCATACTTCAAAGTTGTCTTTGCTCTATACTTTAAAGTTGTCTTTATTCCATGCTTGAATATTTGTTCCGGACGCTGACCTTCCGGTCTTACTAGCAATCTAGAGTTATGTTGGGGTGAACCTTGTATCCTCAGTATGGGTTAAATGAGAACCATTCGGGGTGGAATTCTCAGCCCAATACATCTTGCTAGAGTAATGGTGAATGATGTTAGCCAATGGTAGCAGCTCACTCGGGCATCATTGCTCAAGCATGATTCATTGAAGCGATGATGTCTGTACACCCTGATTGGCAACAAATAGAGAACTTGCTGATCCCTCAAGATATGAGTGATCTAAAATGAAGTTAGCTTGATTAAGAAACAAAGTTCATTGAGCTGAGAGACATTTGAGATAAGAGAAGGGAGAGGTGTATGATATAGTGAGTTATTGTTTATGATTGTCACACTGGTGACTTATACAACAATAAGAGATATTAAGTGAAATAACTTATTGAAATATCACAATTACGAGTCATGTTGATTATGTTTGAGAAAAAGTAATCTCCCTTGTACTATTATGATGATACAATGTTACTCGTCGCATTCTGGATTGAACAAAAATTACACATTTTCAAGTGTGAAGAATATGTGGTAACTAAAGGTGTGTTAAAAGGTAGCACTGAGATGCTTTTTGAAAGTTTTCATATAAATAAATGGCAAAATTGTATCCAGATATCTGGACTACGAGTCAGATATCCAGATAACCGACCCAGCCCTAATGGTGGCACCAAACAGGAAAGTTCTGTTAATTGCCAGCCATTGAAAATATTATCCCCTTTTACAACAAAATCCCAAATGGAAACCTGTGGTTATTAAATCCAGAAGGAAACTTTATCCACATACTATATATAATACCGTAAGTGTTGAGAGTATTGCCCAGTGATACAGTCCAGGAGAATCTCTGCATCATGTTACATTTTATATACATTTTTATGAGTTCTCCTCTGTGTTTGGAGAAGATATATTGTCCCAGTTCTAGATATTTCCCTGATATATTTTGGTACATCTTATAAATTGGGGACCTCTGATTCATATTATCTTCTCCAAAATATATTTTCAGTGCATTGTTTACTATTCTCATTTGCACATAACTACTCATTGTTCATGCATCAGCATTAATAATGCCCACATGAAGTGACTGCCACATTGGAAGTTTATATGAGAGTTAGATGAATTAGGTGTGCTGGTAGTTGTGTGTACCCTCTTCTGCTACACACGTGTTTACTACTGCCCGTGATTAATGTACAAGGAAACTTGGATAGTCTGGATAATTTCATTTATAATTTGAATATTACGTACAACTCTGGCAACTACTAGTACAAAGCTCTTAGACCGTAAAATGTAGATGGAGTTACAGTTGTTGAAAAGAGGACAAAATTTCCATAATTTAGATTTAGGATTCATGGTCCCATAGCAGTTTATATTTTTTCATATGGGTTGCTATAGTCTGTATCTGACTTACTAAGAACAATAAGAATATAGGACGTAGATTAATGGATCTCAATATTGCCTTCATTATTGCCTTCGAAAAAGTTGCAGATACGGTATATATGTTTGAAAAGGTAAGTGTTTTATTACAAGGAGGTTCCTCATTAATGATTACATATATTATGTAATTAAAACTGTGTTGTACTGATGTTGCCAATGACTGTGTGGTATATTAAATGTGGGTTAGAAAGAGATCAGTTGAATGACTCTCCTGCTACATAATATATTGTACGTCTTGTTATCTATAATGGAAGACATTTTTCTCTCTTTTTTTGGAATTTAAAATAATCAATTTTAATACTCCCTGAAAAATATGTACAGGCAATATTTTGGTTGTGTTGTAAGCATTTTGAAAAGTGCTTAGTAGATATAC